AGTTATATGTATTTAAACATAAATCGTTTTAAACAAGAGTCACGTAAAATGTTTCTAATTTCAACATCGAACCAAAATGTGTACAATCATATGGTTACGTACTCTACAGACTTTTGGAACCGAACTCTATGTTAGAATAATTATTCAACTTACGGAGTGACGACTCGTAATATTGCAGAAGATTGATGGTGTTTATGAACCATTATTTTCGAAAACACGACACAGAGCAAGTTAAGCGGGGAATTCACAGTCAAAGAAACGGTGGAACGTTTATCATTCGGTAGATAAAGAGAGCCTTACAAATCATAAAGAAAATATAGTCTCTACTCGGTTGCTCGCCCTATCGATCTGCATTTCTCAGTTAATTAATAAATATGAATGGCCGTATCACATCTCCCTGCAGAAGCCATATAAGGCTGTGGATTTCGGACTAGATTCAACAAGTGAAGGTCCCTCGTTCTGCCATTTGTCTACACGGATAGTTCTGTCATTGTTAGGTTTATCTTCAGTGTATCAGCTTAAAAGTCATACTTTTGAATGTAGTCTACGCAAATAATTGCTTGTTCCAGCTGAAAGAAAAAGACCCATGGAAGCTATTACCTGAATCCAAGATCGGGGGTAAATATTTCCTGCCCAAAAAGCCACTGTCTGAGATATGTTGATGGGTTGCATAGTGCTGGGGTTTTTGTCGTCCCGGTTCCTTTATGAAACACGAAGTAAATGCCAGAGTTTATATTTTCGACATGGAATAGGGGACTGTAAGTGCACCGTTTCTGGTGAGGGGTTTCCCTGCAGTTTGTGAGCTGTTTTGGAACAGTTGCATGGTTGTGTGCACTTTTTAGGTTGCGCATCAAGCCGCCAGTGATAATATCACAGCTTTTCTGTTGATGTGGTTTGTGTGGGTCTGATCCTTGAATTAGAGCATCGCGTGCTAGGTAGTTTATCCCTATCGCCCTGTGCTGGCTGAATTCGTGCCAGCGTTTCAGTTAGTGGTATAACAGTGGCAAGAGTTCTGAACCTATTGGGTTGTTACCCATGCTCATATGTTTCACCTGCCCTCCTGTGAATCGTCTACTTTGTAGTATTCGATCTGATTTACTTGCTAGCCACTCGAGAGAGTAGTTGGACGTTGACTGCTAAGGATTTGTTGAACAATGAGTAGGCCTTTATCCGGCTTTGCCCCTAGAAAACCTGCCTTACGGTGATGTCTTCTGCAGGCTGATGAAAGTGGCTCAAGAACTGTGCTGAAGATCTATCCCAGAGGTACTTCCTGCAACGCGACAGATATATGCACTTGTGTTTTTAAACATAGAGGGGCATTTTATCAAGTTTCGATTAGGCACTGTATACGGTTACTCGGGTGACGGTGAGGTATGGGTTCCCGCACCTCCTTGCCAATCTCAAAATGTAACTGAGAATACACTTCACTCCAAGTGATGTCTGTAGACGTAATGCTGCATTGGTCAAAGTAATGTTCATTTTGAATGAACCATAGTTCAAGATTATTTCGATAAAATTTTAGTAACGTGACTTCGTTGGTTACTAAAGAACCTACCTACTCAGAAATAGGGTTTCTAACAAGAGGTTTCACGGTTGTTGAATGAGATATTTTAATGAATAATACTAGAAATGAAAAGTAAGTATGAATTAAAAGTTCAGAGAAAACAAATGAAAGGCAAAAAATAAATTATTGTAGTTAACTATAAGGAAACTGAAGGCGTGTTAAAATCGAATCATGTCCACCAATTTAGTAACCAACTCCTCTGTCCCCAAATGACCGACGGATAAAAAATATTACCGTGGCAGAAAGCCCGTAGACTTGAATGTTTATATCTGAAGGATCGACGGCAGGCAGGTGAAGTGGAAGAATCCTGACAGACTAAAGGGAAGACATTTGCCATTCATTATCGTGTAATAGATAAGGAGAACCTTACAAATTGTTATACCATTACTGGGAAAACTAAATGCAACACTGTACAACAAGCTGAAATTTTCATATTTCCGTCAAAAGCACTACTTATAATAAAACTTTTGCTATAATTAAGAAGATATATTTCCTGCATATCTACTCCTTCCATCCTTCTGAATTCTTTAACCACTAACCGCTTCTGAGTGACTAAAGCGTTCCGTGTTGAATGTACCCTACAGTGGTGTCGCTTACCTGAATCTGCCGGTCAGATGTGAGGAATATATGTAGTTAACGTAGTTACCAGCTACCTCTAACAGGTTGTTACACATTCTGAACCTGGACATTAAATAAATATGTATGAGACAGCCACCACACATAGTTTGATGAATATTCAGGTGATGAATCAGGAACAACCACCTAGATTTTTTCTGTAGCCCCAACTGAAAATATACCGACTTTAACTTTACCTTTCTCGGAAAGGATTCAGTGATACACAATTTAAACACCACTTTATATCTTTCAGGGTTTGTTATGTTTTCATGTTGGGCGACTGAAATTGGAAAACACTGCTGTGATCATTCGACGATATCCGACACGTTTGCGAGCTATTTAAATATTCTGGTAGAGTTCCGGTTATATTCCATATCACTTATTGCTGAATAAATGGTAATAGTCTGAGAAATATCTGATATGATTAATGAATAGGAATACTTGTCTTTTAATAGCTAATGTCAACCACAGCATATAATTTGGTTGGAACTCAACTATAATGGCCCGATAAACAAGAGAAATGAATCCGGAAACACATATCGTCTGCATAAAGTAAGATTAGGTTGTGGTTACGATTAGCCTTTCCAGCAGTTGTGTGGGTCCTACAGCTGCACGCTTTCACAATACCATACTATGATTTAAGGATCTGATATGGCAATATAGTGGACTAATATATGCAGGAGACATAATGGCAAACTCGACAGCGGAACAAACATCAGAATATTTATTTTTATTTTTTTATTTTCATTTACAGCTTGATTCCACACCGTATTTTCAGTACAAGTACGGAATTTTCAGTATGGATATCGGTAGCCCAAATTTACAGGCCGACCATAGATATCGGGTGTGCGCCGGCAGGGGATTGAACCCCGGACCATGTACATGGTCGGCGAGAGTCCTAACCACTGTGCCACCGACGCAGTGAAATGAAATAATTAATGAAATAATATTGCAGCGGTGTTTTATAAAAAATACAGCTAAAGAGTAATAGAAACTAATGGTCACTTGGTGATACAGTTTAACTGCGATGCTACAAATTACTAATATAATCCACAGAACCATTCAATGCTGGAGTCGTGTATACTAGGAAAAGCTGTGCACCGGTTGTGGAGTAGTCTTCGGACGAGAGGTTCCCACAAAATCCAAAGGATAAAAACACGGTTAGTAATGAAGCAATTAGACAATATGAACCGGTGATAAGGCGCAGCTTTGAGCAACAGATTATATGTTAGATAGTACTCCGAAATTTCCTGTATTATACGGTGAACCGTTCTGAACAAAAGTTATGTACAATGTTTCTGTTTTAAATATCTAGTACATAAGCCTTACAATCATATAGTTCAAGACTTCACATTTTGCATTCGATAACGGAATCACCTGCTGACATCTCAGTGACAGCAGATATCAAGTTCAGCAGCATTTTTACACAGGTTTACAAGTGAAAACTCCTCCAGACTTCATAAATTCCGATTATCCCGTGCTAATTTAGAATACAATGTACTAAGTAACTTACAACCTCCGAAATTCCATAACTTTCAGTTAGGTAAGGAAGAATTATGGAATTTCCTGCATATGACAATTTCCTACTATCACAGCTGTACACAATCACGCAAACTCCACGAAGTTTTAAAAGTTAATTAATTACCATTTGTAGCGGTCTATTCCTATCTTCAAGGTCGGTGGTCGTCCAATGAAGTCCCTCTGTATACTCACTTATAACATAAATTCCGCACAGTTTTCAGTCGTATAACGGTATTATTCATTTTATTTCAGGAATATGTTTTGTTCAGTTCACGGATATCAGTGAAATATTAGGTTACACTAATGGAACATGAAATTACCTTCACGTAAAATGACCCTATATGACCACAGAATACTTTATTCTTCTTCTTAAGAACCCGAAAAAAGGTGGTTGCTGACAGTACTTTACGTAAAGTTAAAACGCCTTCAAAGTAGCTCACTACAATTAATATAGCTGCAATTATTTCTTGTGTTCTGTTCTTCCACAAACGCACAAAACTTAACTTAGTATATCTCAAAGTGTGTATACAAATTCATAGGATGAACTGGTTGTATGTAATTTGGTCACCGACTTGTAGTGAAGTCTGGTAATGTGTCACCGCTTTTTTTGAATTCCAAATCACTTGATGTTCTTATATCAGAGACTAAAAATATTTGACCCCCAGTTTGAAATCAGTTGTTCTAACAATATGAATGTAACGAAAAGGCTGGAATCTGAAAGCATAATTAGTGGAAAACAAGTACGCATTGCACCATACTGTAAATTGATGCCTCCCATATGTTGCAGTGTTATATGAAGAATTGTATTCATTTGTGTAATCAAATAGTTTCTTAAGTAGTTAGTGGGGTCAGTGTTTATGAATGCCACTGAGGTGGAGCTAAATTTTGCAGCCCGTAAATAGCAATTTCCCTCTGACCAACCCCACACTTCTAAAAATAGTCTTCACCGATAAGAGTTGACTCAAACTCTGGCACATGAGAAGTGAATTATATTAAAGACAACTGTCTAGTGAATGAGCTTAAAACAATCACTTCACTATGTCCGGAACTTATCGTGCGCTTCGGTTGCTAGTTGGAACTCAGTCACCACAAAACATACTTCCCATGAACGAGGCTGAGCAGCCTGTGGCACCACCGGATTTCGCAGACTGAGGTTGGTGCGCCGGAATCCAACGATGACCGTACGCGGTTACCATATAAACTTTTCAAGACTAGTCTGACATTTCTAAAAACTCTAATGTCTCTGTATTCCAGACTTTTAATCTATCTTTTAATTTCAGACTGTAAAAGCTAACGGATCATGGTAAGCGTAGCTATAAGTAACAGATATTTTTGAGGATTCGGAAGGTGCAGATGCATTACGAAATGCAATATCTACATGTGGGTTAAATAGCAGTCACTGTCATTTGTTGCAGCGAATATAGAAAAAGTCAAATTTCTCCTCTCAGCGGATAAATCTCTGATTAACTCCCAAGACGAAGTAATTGAATATATATATTTTTTGACTAATTCAATAGGAGGGTTTATCTCCACTCCAGTTAGCATGCTTTCGAGGAGCTCTGCCAATTGTTGAGTTCCTTCTGAAGTGTGGCGCAAATGTTAATTCAACATCTCATAAACAGGGGTACACCGCCCTTATGTTTGCCGGTCTTTCAGGTTAGGCACTTTGTTTTTACACCGTCGTAGGAAACACAGATATTGTTGAACTCCTTTTGCACTACGGAGCTCGAGTAAATGATGTGAATTCAATCGGGAGGACAGCTTCTCAAATGGCCGCATTTGTAGGTAGGTGTTCACTTTTACCAAGGCTTACATATTAGGAAATCATAACGTTGTCAGTCTTATCAATAATTATTTAGAAAAAGAAGAAATTAGCGTCTATACAACAAAGAATAAACTACCGTCTGAATACATATCTACAGTCCACCGACTGATTTTGCAGCTTAACATTTCACCTATAAAGGTACGTCACATGAAAGTCGAATTTGGGGAGACTAAGTACACAAAGTGAAGTTATAGTTGCAAATGACATCATCTTGTGGGCCGTATTTCATTCTTATATTACAGGTTTTCATTGTTTTAAATAATGAAATGGAAACTTGCCAACAAGCGGCAGCTGATAACCCTAATGGACATATGCTAGCGCAGTGGAAATGTGTTCACAACATTCTTGAAGATTTGTGCAATAAGTATTTCACGCCTCATTTAACACACGAACCATTGGCACTCAAACTTCATTTACTGGCCTGTTGTATACGTCAAGCTGGAGAGCATTACGATAAAGAGCTGAAATGTGTAGATAATCAAGAAAATGTGTCTCCAAATTTGAAGCAGCTGATAAAGAAATTTTTAGTAGGAACAGATCCATACGGTTTGCCACAAGGTGAGTATATCAGGACTTCTAAATTCACAAAATTTTTAATAGGTCAAGAACAATTCTTACGCCACTCCTTAACTTCTTTCCCTCACCGTCAATCCACACTATGGAGACATGTTGTTCAACAAATATCGCCGCTAGTATTGGGTGGCTTACCAACAGCATTCTCTATCCTTACTAAAGCTATCAATGGTTCTATTATGTATAATGCACGCCCTTTCGAACTTTGTGCAACATGCGGTGATGGTCCTGAACTAGGAAGGCCTGGAAAACTGAAAGCATGTCAGCAGTGCAAAGTTGCATCCTACTGTTCAGTTTCCTGCCAACGCTTGCATTGGTTCACACACAAGAAATATTGTCCGATCTTAAAAGGTAAGCGCACACCATATCACTCATAATCACTTCCGTATCAGTCACGATCTTTTGAGGTGCGGGTTCTAAAGTATTTTTTCAACGTATAGGTAGGTACCTAACGAGTTTTTGACAACTATATGCCCTATATGAGTTTGACTTATGTCGTTAAAACTGAAAAACATCTAGGGAGCAAAATAAATTACGACATGAACAATAAGATGTGTATGTTTTGATGACACACTATCCACCCAAAATTTGTTTCTAATAACGTGTTGGAAAATAGAACCTTTGTTTAGTACATCAAGAAGTGCGGCAAAAGCTTCATATCCTCTTAGTTGTGCCATTTCTAGATATTGTGTGCAATAAGAAAACTATATCAGATCATTCAGTGAAGGAGTTCATTTTAGGTGGTTAGGGACTCTTTATTCATAACAGTCATCATAGAGACATCAAATACTCTGCATTTTAAAAAGGCGTAGCTTTTTATTACCATTAATACATTAACGCTGAGATGTAATGACTTATTTTGTGTCCAATCATGAAGTAGTAGGTCAATAACTTATAACTTATTTCTATATTCACTTTTGAAAGTTTTGTATCGTTAACGTTTCACCACACTAAAGTAACTTATTTATTTATTTCACAGAGAACAAACAGGAATTCGATCTGACAAAGTAAGTGGTGTCAGAGGGAAAGCAGACGAAACACTGTTAACTGTGATATGTTTCTTCATCGAATATCAATTTCTTGTGTTACTCTACTATAGGTTACTTTTTCACATTAAGTGTATAGCATTCGCAAATAAAGTGTCTGTTCAAATATGAAATCTTTATAATATGCATTAAAAGTCATTAGGTTTTTGTAATCATAGTAGTATATGTAAAAAATAGTCTTTTTATGATACAAAATTAAGTTGAAATGTACATAAGTATTGGATATCACACTTGATGGTATTACTGCAACAAGGGTAAGAAAGACGGATCATGTAAATTGCAACTGATGATCAGTTCTGCAGTCATTCTTTGACATTACTTAACGTATTTCTTTGGAAGTCTAGAAGGTACAAATAAAAACAAATGGTAACATACAAATTTCTATGTAGATAGATAACTATCATCATACGGTTTTAAACAGTTTCAACAAAATATCTTGTCACCGGATGCACTGATGATATATCCTGAAGCACTGCCATCTAATTGAACATTTCAATAGATTTTCCAGTATCAGAATAGCAGGTTGTGATCTGCGGCTAATTTTGAAATACAGACTCTAGATATGCGCACCGTAACTAATTATAAAACACCAAAATCCGATAGTGGAAAGTTACACCTGACCCAGATTCCATGCTTCTAAACACTAATAGTCAACGCCTATATTTAGTCAGCGATTCATATTTGTAATAATTAGCTATCAGGGTCACGTAATGTAAGTTAACTTACTCAGCAATAATTGCAGCTTTTGTTAGCGCAAATTTACGGGACGAATTTCGATCTAAACTCATTATGTGAAGACTGAATTGTGGATACACTTTTGGTATCTCAAGATTACACACCATTCTCTCGGTAAAGATGTTGTACCGATATTTGGTTGTGAAGCGTTTGCTAAAAATGTTTCAGGTTACCTGAGACGGACATATTTAAAGTCTGAATTCTAAATAGTGTCAGGTTTTTTTTCTCGATAATCTTTCTGATCGACCGAGATTCAAGCCATGTTGCCTGTAACTGTAAGTTTCAATTATCTTGTGTATATTCAAGTCCAGACAGTTCAAACCGAACGATTCTTGTCATTTTTAGCTTTTCGTGTATTCAGTTATTTCCACATAAGGTGTTGCGTTTCCTAGGAGTCACAAAATTCAACTACTCAGTTGATGAAGTACCTGTTTGTTAACAAAACAGTTTTAATATTTGGAAGAACAGATTTATGTTTGCACCTGTTATATCAAAACTCTAAATTAAAAAACGGTACCAACCTTTTGTAATCATATCCGTGGGCAGAATCATCATAATTTGTCGATAATCGCCCTTCTTTCTCATAGTTTTGGACCTTTTGTTTGTTAAGTAATTTTCTTTCAGTCGATTCAATCTCTCTTAATCTAGCTTCGATTTCTCGTTTGCGAGTCAAGCGATCATAGGCAAAGTCCGTGTTCATATCTGAAAAAGCACATAATAAGCGATATCAGAAAGATATTGACCAGTTAACAGGAATGAAGACATTCTGCATTACTTAGGTAAACGTCCTACCTGTTTCATAAGTCGTATGCAGGCGTGAATGACCATACTGTGAAGTTGCTGTGGGATCTGGAGTTAAACGTTCAGAAGCTGATGACAGTGAGTTGTTACTATGTGAGAACATCGAGGATGACCTACTAGAATGTTCTTCAGGCGAGTGTGATTCATTTCTAGACCATTCACTAGACGATGGAATTTTGCTTAGGCTTCTGCGGTTTTTTCGCTTTGTATGAACCTAGAGGACAAAATTAGAATAAATATTAAAACCTTGAATCACTACTATGCAAATGTTAAGGAAATCTTACTTATTATTCGTTTATTGTGTGCCGTTGATAATGCTTCCTGTTGTTGGTTAGGTATCTTCACCAACTCTCTTCTCTATGTTCACATGAAGTCCTCGCTGCCTGCCTCTCTTTGGTTTTCGCTTGCAGATGTTTGAGTTAGTGCGACATGAGATTGTAAATAACTGGAGAAATGCAGATCTTCTAGTCTTTCCTTCGGTCCAATGTCTGCCTTTCCATTTTCCTTAGGCCGTCCCATATGATCAAATCCATCACAATCAGGGTCTTGTCTGACTTGTCTTTACTCCAAATGCATCGGTGAACTTTCCTTTGTGAATCACTTAGCATGTGGCGTTACCAGATAGTTGGTGATTAAGGTCTATGAATACTTTCGGCGCTCCGTAGTATTGCCGAATTACTGCGTGATCGACACTGTCAAAGGCCTTCTGAAAGTCGATGTAGTTATGAACCCATCGTGACACAACTGCAACCCATCAAATTGACGCCATATCATTTACTGTCCTCATAACTGAAACTTTTTTAAAAACATTCATTTGTCGATGCCCTGAGTGATGATTGAAATTTAAGTGAAAATCTAAATTGCGACATAATTTAGACCCAAAAGCTATGTTAATACTCACTCCATATATTCTGTTTTAGGGCTTACCACATTGTAGCTAACTTGCATATTTTCAGCGCGAACAATTTATCCTTGCTTTTAGGAAATAAATTCAATAAGCCTGATATACTTTAAAAAGATTGCAGTAGGACTTTCATTTTTCAGCCATATAGGTTTCGAAATAGATCGGCATTGAATAAGACCCACTTTCACGCAGTGTGAGACTTCGAGTAAGCACTTAAGTCTGTTATCTTTCTTCTTAAATTGAGAATTTTCGTTCACTCCAAAAAAATATCTCAGGAAAGAAAAGTTTGTGATACTTAAGACTACATACGATATCAGAATGATCATGCATGGACTTTAAAAAACCGGGATAAATGCAATAAAATTATGAAGAAAGCATAATTTCCGTGTATGCTCTAAATTTACACATACGGAATCTGGGGATACACGGAACCGACTGGAAATAGAATTGCTAGATGAATATTCAGGTTTCAAGCGACGGTCGATAGAGTCATCAGAACTTTTCCTGCACTCGATTTTTCTCCGTGTGTTTGGATTATGTACTGACTGGTTTGTCGGACTATATGGCATATGTTCTATTCAAAAAGAAAAGACAAACAAATTTACGGTTATATGTCAACAAGTCGTATTGCGTGAATAATCATTTAAAACCCAAATAATTTGAATACAATAATTTCTCCTGTAAATTGACATAATAATTGCGATAACCTATTTGGAATCAAGACAAACAAGTACGACATAGTTGCGGAATTTTAACAAGTAGAAAGGCCATATTGCTAGGGACATCGTGGACAGCGACGATTCGAGTTTTAACTGATCTATAAGGCGAAAATATTAATACTATGCATGCCTCTATAAAGTGTTGGTGTACTTGGCCCACCCACACAAATCTTGTAGCATGAGACGAAATTAACACAATATATGATAAGCAGCATTTCCTAACAATAAGACGATATTAAGCGAAAGGAGTATTCGAACCAGACAACTGTCTATTCGCGTACCCACACTTTTGTTAATGAAGGCGAATTCCCGATACGTAACTCCTTCATTCAACTACACTTATGATTAATTTCTATAAGGGATCTTCTCCCTGAATCTCATTAATTACAGCTTATTTAGTTGCATGTTATAGTCATTATACTAATTTTTCATTGACTGGATGTAATAGACCATTGTTCCAGTAAAAATTTTAACCACTTGAAACAATAAGTAGTCATAATCTATGAAGTGAACTCAGTAATAACTTGAAATTATGGATACTTTATATCTCCACTGGTAATATTTTCCATGATAAATGAAATAGGAATATCTGCACTTATTTTGGCGTTTAAAGTTCTTCAGAATGGTATAATTTACAACTCCATGTATACAACCGTCATATGATGTACTTAATGAAAGAAAGTATCAAAGGTTATACTGCGTGTGGTGTACGTCAATTATCAGGAACAGGACAGAGTTAAATCAACTGTAAAATAGAATTCCTCCTTTACAAATTATAGAGTTCGGGATGAAAACTTATAACGGTTTTTCATATAACCATATGCAATCCTTTTGATAGAATGAAAGGCAATTAAGAGATGAAGAAAAATGATATATTCAAACATCTAGTCAGAGTTCAGGTGGTTTGGACTGGCCCGACTGTTTGAACTGAATCTGACCGAGTACACTGCTGACGAGATTGATCACGACTAAACGAATCGCGTGGATAATTTCTACCCACTCATATAAATCAGTAGTCTGTATTATCTTGCTAAAACTAATTCTACTTATACGTAAAATCAAGTGGAATGGAAAGCATCAAAATGAAACATTCACATGCATTCCCAGCATGCAACAAAATTTATCAATCCCGACCCCCATCTTTACACTCACTATAATATAGGCATCAGTAACAAACTGCTTACTTATATATTCATGAAGTGAAATGATTTACTAAGGTGCTAGTGTTACATTCATTATGTATATTAAGAAATTACTATTTGACATTCTGGATCTACATCAGGACTGAATAAAAAAATTAAATGTCGAACTTAATTGAAGTTTTAGTGTCAGTCTATTTATGTACAAACATTTGTATATAAACAAGTGGACAATACGGAGAAAGACACATACCCGCTTTCATTTTAGATTACGAGACTGTCAAAACAGAGAGATTTTGAAGGAAGAAGGGCTATAGAAGTGGATAACTAAAAACTTTCTACCTATATGGATGGATTTCATGAAATACAACAAAACCGTTTTTATCCTAACACAGAGAGTGAAGAAGTCGGTCAATACAAACTACTCACTTTTATGAAAGACAGAATGTGGTTTGGAATAACCCCTTTCTCTCCGTGAACTTGTTCCAACGGTCATTGGATGACAGTCGTCCTGATTAGTATGAGTCGGCTCACAGAAATGATTACCGGATGATACAGGTGAAGCAGACAGTCCAGAATATTTAGTCTGCGGATAATGTCTGTGCTTTTTAGATGAACTGGGTGGACTAAAATCATGGAGATCTGAAAGATGTTCGTAGGATGATTTCCTTGCGGTATCGTGCTTAGACGCAGGGTTTTCTGGATTATATTCTAACGTGGGACGTACTGATTTTCGATGTTTACGTCCATCATAATTAGCTGGTGAATAAGAGGGTACATTATCCTCTGAACTGATATGGTCAAAGGGAGAGGCATTTCGCAGAGGTGAGTTCCTGTCATACGAGTGATGAACTGCATGTGAAGACTTATAGGTCGGAGAATGATTGAAACGTCGTACTTTGTCTTCATATGACAATGGTGACTTATAGTTCAAATCTTTCTCCTCATCCTCGGAGACATCATCCAGCATAAAACGGACATTATGCCAAGCAGTTTTGTCATTTGCACAATGTGAAGTTTCTACTGTTTTTTCATCGACGTTTGAGACCTTATTTTCTTCAGCTTGTCCCGAGTCTTGGTGTGGTAGGATTGTAGTGTTTTGATCAATTGGGCTATTAGAGTGTAAAGACTCTGTAAAACAAAATGTACACGTGCAAAATCTAGATTTTAAAAGCCTTAACTAAGGGAACTTGCAGATAAAGTTCATTGTTTATCAATAAAAGGTGAAATGAAAATCGACCGGCTGAAAATGGGTCTTTTATCATTCTTAGAACCCAGAGCGAGTTTAACTTTTAAAGTTTAGAAGTACTAAAGTATAAGGTTTTGTGATTGCTGCTAGCTACACGTTTTATGAAAAATGGAAATAAAATACACTTATTTCAGTATTGACATATAAAGTTAATACAAATCTCAGATCAGAAAGTCGCGTTTATTATGCCATAATGACTGTAAGAAATCACCGGATGTAAGATTATATTCTGTGAGCAACGAGCAACTATGTGACGACAATTCCGAAAAGTAATGTCTCTAATGCTTCAATCACAAAGAAAATGTGCTTCAATATTGTTCATATGGAGAAGAAATGTGTATTTGACGACTTTGACTTATCTGTTCTGCGAAAATGAAGATAAATAAAAGCATCGAAAACGCGTGGATGTCTAATGCACTCAGTTTCACACTTTCCCTACACAAAGTGTGATTCAGTAAAGGTAGAGAGTCCTGTCGCATTCGTATATCATTAAGTTACTTTTTCCAGTAGGTAGTCAGAAAATAACCCAAATGTCTAGCTCAATAATTACGTCTACTGAGGATCTACTACGGGATCAAGCAGGTCATAAAAGCAAAACTAAATCTAACTCATAATGGAAGAAAGTATATTCATATAAGGAATACAGTGCTCTACTACCAATGAAAATGCACTGCAATTCAGTGGACAAAAACTCAAGCATTTGTTCTTATACAGAATGAAACAAGTTTATATCACTAAAACCAAAAGCAACATTTAGAAACGGTATATGTATGTCAGTCAAAGTTTACAGTATTCCGATGTACTAACGACCTACCCTGTCTTCCTCAGTGATGGTCTACAAAGTTGACATTTTTAGGTCAAAGAAGACTGATTTAGACAGGCTCGGAAAATGATGACTAGCCAAAGTTTCTCAAATACAAGCTTACTAAAAGCCTTCTAAATAACTGTGGACAGTGGTGTGAGAAAAAAACCGTAAGAGATGGCAAACACATAGACAGTAGACAATACCAAACAACTGTTTAGACTCATTAAAGAAAACGGGCTATGAAACCAATGGTAATTAGAACGTTTCTCAAGCTTGAACGGTACTTTCATTTCTTCTCAAGACAGACGATAGCAACGTTAGACTGAACATTTCGAGGGGAAATTTAAGAGACCTACAATCTAGTTAAGGTTTCTCAGCGTCCAACACCTACCTGTATAGGATATAGGCATGAATCCCGTAACTGTAATAGAGGTTATGGAAAGTGTTTCGGATCTAAAGCAAGGCAAATCAGTGAAAACTGATGGTTTGCCTCTAGAGATGTTTAGGGATGGTGGTGACGAAATATTGACTGGGTTAACCGAGATTCTAGGTAATGTGTAGGAATCTGAGATAGTCCTATAGGACTGATGCAAATCACTCTTTGTCCTAGTTTATGAAGAGGGAGACAATTCTTCTTGTGATAATCGTAGAGAAACCAGCTTGACTAACACAGCATCTAGAATTCTAGGTTCATGAAAGTGTGATTTTGGAAGCTCATAGGTGGTTATTACTTGATTAATACTGTTGACAGTGTAATGATTTACTGATAAACCAAAGTGAAATATCTTCAGTAAGAAGTTACAATAATTTTTTTTAAATTATTCACTCTGATCACTAAAGTGAGATTGTTTCGCATTCATTTTTACTAAAATTCGCATTTTCAAATTATGGAACGCATATTGCAAAATGTGCTACTTGTGCATGTCATGCTCTGCTGCTTTACAAATTTCAGTTTCTCTATCCATGAAGACGTATCATCATCTCAAAGCCATAAACAAGGACAGACTGAAAACCGATTACTTGATAAAACAATAATTACAGGTAGTATGTAAAATCTCTGGAAAGATGTCCCATCAGATTAGGAAAGCATCATGTGCTTTTGGAAGTGTGTAGGCAGCCAACGCCATGGAAGTTGACTTTTTTCTTGGGATACCTGAAACAGGAGAATTAGTGTTGCGTTTCGACAGAGGCCAGGGGAAAACTGCTTGAGGCCTGTGATACATGGCCTGTTTGAATTGTTTTTTGGAATTACATCCATATTAAGATCTCACGCCGCAAGGCGAGTTGGGATGTACAATTTTCGGGGTCGACCTGTTGTAACCACTCCTCTTCAGAGCGGAGGCAGCATAGGTGGCTTGTTGGTCATCTGAGGGAAACAACTTACTGCTGTTACAACCTTATTTCCTAACAGTACAACTTCGTCTACAGACACCCAGTACAATATACACTACTTACACTATGATGGTAACCACTCTTAGTTTAACTGCTATCCAAACGATCTTTCTGGCATGGTCGCACCCGCAGGAACATTAGCTCCAGAGAGTGACTCGTTAGATCGTCGTCACACACGAAACTGACTACCACATCAAGGTAGCAGCTATGGGTCGGGACTAGGTTTACTAATCCTTCAGAGACTAAACGGTGCTCGGGAGAAATAAACGTGTGAAAACGAGACACACTTAAGGTTAAGACGAGAGTGTATGGGTCATATTTTCAACCTTCAACAGATTCTGAAACAAAGGCATTCAACATTTACCACATTTGTCAACCTGAGCAAGACATTAAACTCCATTGATTGAGGTATGACGTCAATATATACTGTGAAGGTGTTGAGAAAGTATATCGCACTAAACAGGACAATCCACTAGAATTTACACAGCCGTGTAAAGACGTATGTTGTTATTAATCTGAAGTGGTGGCAACTATTGGTTTTCATCAGGAAAATTTAATGTCTTTATTTTCGTTTAACTTCATCATGTACTAGTAGATATGATTCTGATCAAGTTCAGTGATATAAAAAATGACTTGTTATCACGGGACAGTCCCGTCGATTTAGTGTATGAGAATTCCTTCTAGATGTAGACGCTAACAAAATGCAGTCTTCTGAGCACCCGCAGAAGAAATCTTAGTATATCTGGCATGCGATTGGCCCCTGTCAAATGTGAAATGACGTTGCAGGACTACTATGTGCCGACTCCCAGTTTAAATACAGAGGGAAATAAATGAACGTGCTAACTGCTTGCCTTACATGAGAAGTTGCATTAACCCTGGAGGATTGCTACCAAAATCTCAGCACGAATACAAAAGGCTCGTGTTTCTATTGCCAATTTGTCATCTTTTCTGTAGACATGTCCCCAAAGGACGTGTGTGGTGTGAGGCAATTTTTTGTGGCTGTGAGACGTGTTCGCTTGAAGTGAAAAACCTGAAAACCACAACTGTCTCTCTACTTAGTGGTATAATATATATATATATATATATATATATATATATAACACAAGTGTCAGGTAAAGAGAAACATTCAATTGACTTTTTTGTGAACTTTTATCAGTTAATATAGCTAGCTAAGCCTTTGCCCTCCTCAACCATGTTAGCTGATATAGGATTGGGTTACATGAAAGATAGAAGTGGTCAGATCAAAACACGATATTAATCGTTAGTCTTTGATTGTTAGTTTGAGTCTCAAAGTAATGGATAAGGTGCATGGTTTTGGTTGCTGAGACCCCAACCACAAATGGCTTGAGTTGCTACATGGCTCAAGGTCGTTTTCGATCGCTCAGGTCCACTTACTCTATATGAACTTACAGACCCATCAAATTTTCATTATCCTTCATGTACTTATTCTTTCTCCCACACACTCCCATTGATTGTAGATTCTTTACTCTGCTTTTCCTCTACATTTGTGTGATCATTGAATGTCAACTTGAACTGCTGCACTTTTATGCAAAGTTCTCCGCTGAAAATCAGTCAGTCAGGTAGATATGTTCACTAAGTCCAAAGGGCTTCCTGGTATCACTTATTTAAACTGCCTTCTCAGTTTCATGTTTCCATTAGAGCTTAATAGCCATTACGTAGACTTCTAATAATTCCATATTTCAGTCACTTTTATTTCTCGTCGTGCAGATACAGAGTGAAATTTTTTGAGAAATCGCGTGAATTCAGTCTGCCTAACTAACAGTTCCTTGACATTCCAATTTCCGATTTATGAGTAATAAAGTGATTTAAAGGTAAACTTCCTTACTTACTTCAGTATAATGTTACTGATATACTCAGTAAATATATCGCGTAAAATGAAGACACGTGAAATGTTTTGGTATCGCCACTAGACATATTGATAAAAGTGAATAATTGATGAAGCCTAGACCTGTCACACAGAAGGCTAGATTAAAAGTGACGTGACAATCCCCTAAATTCAACACTGAAAAGAAACGATATGTTTTATACTGAAACTTACCTATATCCATCGGGTCATCGCACTGTACTGATTCCTCAACCGTAACTTCCAAAGGGTGTGTTTGCCCCTATAACGGGAATTTACAAGTACAATTTACTGTGAAATGTACAAACAGAGACAAGCAGTCTATTTTAAAATAATAACTAAGATTTTTAGGTGTACCGGCTTAGGATCTGAATAAGACAGTATCACACAAATGTCAACAATGATACAAGTCCAGACAGTCATAGTATTATTCTCGATCTGAACACACCTTGTTTGAAAGAATTAGTAATGCATATGGACAGGTCAAGAAGTTCCGCTGAAGCCTTGGAAGTGAATCCCAACAAGATCATGGGATGTCAGCTCTAGTATCCTCACAGACAGGTAAATATTATTTTTTATCTACCAACGTGTAAACCTAGAAAACTTCACGTATATTGCGACGATATACAAAGTAGAAGAGGACAAAGTTAGACTATAGCAGCCAACCTTATCGGCCTTACCACAGACCATGAGCAACTAAACAGAATTGAGGAACAATAAAAAGACTAGATCATGGTGTTGCCAGATATTTTTATAGATCTGTCTCTGTCTTTCAATCTACCCGGGAATCTCAATCTTATTAAAAGGCCAGTATTCTGCTAAGCTTGCAGTGTATACATATGCTTTAGTAACTCTGAATAACCTATTATTCAAACAGTAATCAATTTATTTTACTGTAACTTGTTAGGCAAATACAGAACAGAAGAAATCGCTTGATTCGGTGATACCACCAGGGCATGTATTTGGTTGGTTGGTCATGTGTCAAGTTGGTTGCTGTACCTTAGATTAGCCTTGAGAAATGCACCAACCAAAAATACATTTTCAAAATTGCATACTGCCTAAGTGATATATTGAAGCAACTCACCTGACCAGAGTCGCAATGGACTGTTGTTAGGGTCTCGTACTTTTCAGTGGCATGGTCAGTCGGCACACCTAATGCAGGCTGGTTGCTAAGACGAACAGGCGGTTGGCAGAATACTCCAGGAGGAGGAGGAGGAGGGGGAGGAGGAGGAACCATGTAATTTCCACTTGGGCTGACATATGCATTTATTGGACACGGGACATTTGGTTGGATGACTGGATGTTGGACTGGAACTGGAGGGTATGGATACGGGAATGGTGGGCGAACAGCAGGGATAGCCATACCGGTATTCACTACAGGACTGACATAGTTTATATCTGGGAGGACACATGGAACTGCAGACTCAGGGTATACAGATGGCTTTATTTCATCACAGTTAATGCTGGACATTAGAGACTCTGGAGATATATCAAAGTAATCACACACAATGTTTTGAACCTGATTTCTGAAACCCTTCGGCATTTTAGCCTTTAGTGCTTCACACACAAGCTTGTCGATACCAGAAGAAAACATTTTAGTTTTTGTAAGTTTAGTCCGTAATTCTTCCCTCAACTTTAACTTCTCTAGAGTTGAATCCCAAGTTTGATTCTCGAGAAATTCTGAAACAAATGAATTCACTTTTTTCTGAAGAATTTGATATTCGACATTCGTATCTATATCTTCCAGACATTGTTTTCGAATTTTATCGAACAATCCTTGACTTTTGATCTGGTCCACAATATGACTAGCAGTTTGAGTGCGTTCGCAATGCATTTTTCGACAAGTACCGTTCAGATAGAATGAGACCGCCACTGTAGTAGTGCTGTATTCACCATTTTAGAACATCCAATATCGTTTTTACGAGCTAGTATAAACCAATTTGATTTCTTTGTGCTCGCCTCTTGATTGTGAGGTAGAGGTTCCTGATCTTCGGTAAACGTCTGCGTAGCTCGTCCCGCCACTCGACTGTCGTAGCTTTGGTTGACTCCAAAAGGAGTAGTGCAGGGATTAATTATATGTGGTTTGTAGTATGAGGTGTGTTAAGACTGTTACTACTGTGAATGGAGTTGACCTTTTCACCAGTTGGTCCTTCGGTATCGTCGTCAACAGAAAAGAGATAATAATAGATATAATTAGTGAAGTTATTCAGACTAACAGACAGAAAAAGAATAAGAAGACGTAACAACAGTCAGTCAGAAGGTATATATATACCGGTAATAATGATAATAATAATAGGTCTAGTTAAAGCTGTCAGGAGAGTAAGACGGAAGAGAATGTAAAGAAGTAAAACGACAAGCTTAATTGTTTACCTTTGAATGGTGTATGCGATTTTAAGGGGATGGGCCGTTTGGATGCAGTCCTTGTGTCGCTGCATGGTTGTCCAGCCTTCGCTTAAAGGCGTCCACAGACGGTGCCATAGCTACGTCTGCCGGTAAGGAATTCCAGGGACGGCAAACCCGCAGGGAAAAGTGGGAGCGCACCCGGGTCCTTGCCCTCTGATGAGCTATCCTTCTGGGTTTTCCATGAGGAAGCCTATACCTACTCAATGGTAGAACACCTTTGTTTGGGTGATTCTGATCATTTGTTATTTTGTAGGCAGTAATCAAATCCCCCCTAAGACGACGGTAGCTAAGTGTGAATAGGCCTAATTTCTTCAGCCTTTCATCATATGGTTTATTTCGGAGACCAACCACTCCTTTTGTTGCCCGTCGTTGGACTCTTTCCAAGAGGTTGGCATCTCTTCTAAGCATTGGGGGTGTAATAATATTATGCACTTCAAGGTGTGGTCTGACGTATGTTTTGTACAACCTTAGAAAGAGCTCAGGAGTGAGTGCACCTAACTGTCTATGTGTAAAGTGTATGACCGCATATGCCCTCGCTGTATGCCCGTGTAATTCACGCTTGTGTCCATTTTCTCCGTTAGAACTAGACCTAAGTCACGTTCCGACGTTGTGCAGGACAAGCTTTCATTGCACAGGGTGTAACTTGCATTCTGCATTCTGCAGTCTACAGGTGCGTAACTTCACCACTTTGCACTTTTTCAGGTTGAAAGTCATGCCACTGGCCACCGCCCAGTCTTCCAGAAGGTTTAGATCTTCCTGTAGCCTGAGTCCTCCGGGCACTTTATCGCCCTCCATATCTTCACGTCGTCAGCGTATAGAAGAGTCGGGCAGCTTAAACGGCATGGTAGATCATTGATAAAAATCAAAAACATCAGTGGTCCTAGGATAGAATCCTGTGACACTCCTGATGACGAGCTGTGCCAAGATGATCGGACTCGATTGACCTTAGTGCAAAATTGCCTTTCAGCTAGGTAGTCCTTTAACCATGACAGAAGTGACTTACCTATACCTGCCTGGCTTACTTTGTGTAGGAGAAGGTCATGGTGAACAGTGTCGAATGCCTTCTCAAAGTCTAGGAAGACCACATGGACTGGAACATTCATATCCCAGCATGATGTCCAGTCTACCCAAGCTGATAGTAGGTTAGTAACGCAGGATCTGCCTTTCCTGAAACCGTGTTGGGCTTCATGGAGTATATTAGACCTATCGAGATATTCCCTGATGTGATCGTCAATAATACTTTCCAGTACTTTTGAGACCACTGGGAGTGGAACTGCTGGTCTATAATTAGTGGCATTTTGTCTATCCCCACTCTTGAGGATCGAAAAAAGGATGGCTCTTTTCCACTCCCTTGGCAGTTTCCCCGATTCCAAGGAGTGTTGGAACAGGTCGCATAAGGGCCTACAGAGAGCTTCGGCGCACTGTTTCAGAACAGATGTCGTCACAACCTGGGGACTTCCCAGGTGTGAGTCGCTGTAGCTTCCCTAGTACTATTGTGGGGTTTATTTGGGGAGTAGCCACTAAGTCTTCTCTCCTGTGAAATAGTAGTGCCACCAAGTGATAATGCCTCGTGGCCGAGACTGTAGGCACCGTTCTGATCATTTTTCGCATTTGCTTCACGTCGCATGTCGAAGATCAGTCAAGATCTGCTGTCGGGAAATGCAAGGCCCCTTGTATCCTTCTGTGCAATGTCATATTGGCTTTACTTCAGTCATCATGACGTTGAGGGGTCTGACGCTGCTTCCAAGCAATTTGTTCATTTTCGTCTCTGCACAATTACTTCTTCCACTGATCGTGGCTGGCGTTCCGTCCAGATTAGTGCGGCATTTTAAAAGTTATTCTGTTGTACTGAATTACACCCAACTCCTTTCTTGGTTGCACTTAGTCGTTTCTACAATCATATTCCCTACAGTAACTCAGTATGAGGATTGTGGGTCTATGCCTACCCTTTTCTGCCGTATAGTCATGTGCGCACCCTGGCGTAGCCGTATTTTGCTGCCCACTTTGTCCTTAATTGTGTGCCATGCTAGCGGACCACCGCTCAGGTTTTCTGAGCTCTCGAAGTTTACTACCATAAGTAGTGGCATGCCCAGTGGTTATTGATTTTATGGGCGAAGGAGCAAGCAGATATCTTCTGCCACTTTTGCAGGTAGTGAATTACGCTGTTACGTGTCACTCAGGTCTTCCTCCTCTGAGCCAATGGTTCTTAGTTCTAGAATGTGGTGCATTATAACAGTAGTTTGTCCACAGTTTTTATTCTCCTTCTCCGTCCCCTCAAGTATCACAATCTTAAGGAAAAGGAATTTAAATGTGGTCGGAAGTTTCTAAATGACAGATAACATTATGTATTATTTTTTAACCATACCTAATCCTTTAAAACCACACTAAAATATATGTATACAAGATGAGTTCAAACACCTTGTTGTTTAGTGATGAAACTGTCGGAAATGCGTATCCAGGACCTTCAAGTTTCCTAAGATTTCAGCGTGACTGACGCCCTTCTTAATGTTCACACGGTGTTATTAATGCATTTTGGCAGGGAGGTAGAAAGGGATTTCATGCCATTGATGTGGGATGAAGCATTAAGACTACAAATATACCGTTTGGATGCTCAGTGAGCCTTTTTTCTAATACGTCTCAGAACCAAGTATAGTGCCCATCAGGCTAATACAGTCCTTTAGTATAACATCGTCTTAGACTCACTACACTAATAACTATCAAAGAAGATAGATTCCTACAATCTTCGATCCAAATTCTCAAACAAACGAATTTGTTCGAAGATGGTTTATATTAAAACCAAAATAGTTGAAGACTAAGATTTATTATTCATTTTGACAAAATGTATCAAGCAATTATGGTACAGACCTTTAATTATGGGATTACTCGAAACCTGGATATCAAGAGCACAATATCCGAACACCAAATAGCTGCAGTTAAAGAAAGGGCATTAAAACAAAAAATGTGTTGTCCAGACTGAGTCAGTATGGTCTAATCAATGCAAATATGTGCAATTTTATATATAGTACTACCTTGGTACTTGAAGGTGCAATATAAGATGTGACACTGCCAGCCAAATTAACGTTAGTTTCTTTCTCAAAGAATCAATGAAATAACAATTACAATGGTTCATCCAGCCATCAAACAAAATCATTACATTTTACACACACTAAAGTCCAAATGGAGCAAAAATCTCATCAGGATGGCATATACTTGTAATGTACCTACCAAAGCCGTTGTTACACAGCTCACCCGCACGTACAGCAAATTCACATATATACTACCTTACTGATTACCAGGACTTACAATAGTGCGCTTAGATTCCTCCTTAATGAGGTCCATCATCGGCAGCTTACAAAAGATAAGCTTTCTTAATATCAATCACCCTGTCCATCTCCGCCTCCACTTGTTTAACTAAACCAGTTTTACTCGGAGGCACACGCTCCAGAAGCAGGGTTGACCACTGATTCCCATTAGCAAAGTATGATAATGCTATAAGTTTCCAACCCATAGATTCTTACTTATGCCCATCTATTCGCGTTGTCGTTGCAGCAAGGAAACATATTGGGCAATCATTTCCATTTCTCTTAGGCACCTAACTAATTCCCTTTCCAGTGCTAACAAAATGAATCCATTGTCACTGAATATTTCCTTCAAATGTCCTCTCCTACTGACCAACCTCATCAACGCCATTATAAAAGAGTTCATAGAGAGATTGTGCGCTTCATCTTCATGTACAACTAGTAATCTCAGAGGGGTGCAAAATACAGCCGTGACACTTTTCCGATCTCCAACCTGGTGTCACCAATATCGACGCAGTATAGTCAACACCTACCGAGTATAAAGAATAGTTGGCCCCAAGGGAGATATCAGCTGACACTCTGGTTTGACATCACAAACAGTCTCTGATGATATGCTTCATCACTACACTACCTAGTAATACCAAAAACTCTTCCCAGTGTCTGTGTTACACATCTTTTACGTTGTGGTCGCGTCTTACTACCATCTCGGTGACAAGTTTCGAAGGCAGTGTTACCTGGTTTCACCATTCACTGAGCCAAGGCGAGTTTCGCAATCGACCGCCTACACATACCAAGCCATTTAACAAGGTAGGATGAAGTTCGCACAAAGGTGAGTGGAATTTTCGTACTCTCGAACTGCCAGATGTCACTAACAATTTAAGTTCCCTCTTAAATTCCCATGATATCCAAATTACCAGGTCGTAATTCATCTACCATCAATGGACCCAAACTGAGAGATGTATCACTTCTGCCGAAAGGCATTATGAGTATATGGCATTTGAAATGAGTCAGCCAAACTATTCCTTCAATACCCTGGTCCAGTCCAAAAGGTAGGACAGAACCCAGTCTAAGCCAGAAACACTAAATTTAATATCTGCCCAAGGTGCAGCCTTCATCTCTGATCGAATGTCATATGGCTGCGTGGTTATGTCTCTTCCTAGCATCCGAATT